GGATACACTGGCCTCATCTTTCATCACTGAGCGCGATGAGCCCATTGCCTCGGTCCTTACCCGTACCCTTCTCGAGACCGGCCAGGAGATTCCGGATCTCTTGGCCGGCTACATCCCGGAGGATGCCGCCCATTTTCGCCTCAAAGCTGATTCAGACCTCGATGAGACCGAGAACGCTGCGGTCAACTTTGGCGGCGATGCCAACGATGGTGGTGATGGCGGTACGACCTCTGGGGCGCTGGTGATGCTGCTCCGGTTGCCCAGCCGACCGCCGAGAAGCGATAGTTGATGGCGTGGACGATGTTGAATAAGGCATTGTTACTTATAATAGGGGAGCGTGAAGGTTGCTTGCAGGGCAGAGTTTGGAGCAGTCGGCGCGCGTGGTCGCGGAAGTTGACGTTGGACAGCGGCTCGTGAAGTAACGCAAGGACACCATCAGACACAAGATATGAGTAAAACTTCTAAAACATGAAGTCTTCGAGCCCTAGTAACAGGTAGCAATGTCTCATTTCAGCTCGGTATGTTAGGTTATACTAGATTCACTTACTCCCTCAATTAACAATAGTTCTGTATTTATCCCACTGATATAGCCCGTAATCTAGGTTTCAAGTCATCTATCTGATTGGTAGGGTGGATGACCAGGAAATGGCCCACCCACGGATATGGACCACCACCCCCACACCAGCCACACAACCTTAATGAGATTACCCCTGAATGCTTACACTCCCCACAACAAGACCAATATTGGGTCAATTTCTATGGAATTTATACCAAAATGTAGCTCAATCACTGTCAGAGTCAGACATTTCGTCTGCTTCCCTCTTACGCCGGGTTTGAACCCGATAACGTGTGCTACGCCGCACAGGCTCGGCTGGCTCCGGCTGCTCCACATCCTCCTTAGGCACCACTTCTTCCTCCACCACCCTCCCTTCAATACGAGCCTCTTCCAGGTCACAAAGCCTTACAAACTTGGAATTCGAATCTTATCTATTCAACTTGCGCCTTTTCTTTGCGTCCTGGGCTTTGTGGGCGTTTTGTTGGTGCCTTGCCGCATCAGCTTTGTGGATGGATACCTCAGATCTCAGTGTGAGTATAGTACTGGTGAGAGTCCTTGCCGCAAGCCGTTTTCCGGCCGGCGTATGGTTCTTGAGTAGGTCCTTGACCTTCTTGGCCACCTGGGAATCCCCCACGGTATGGAAAGTAGGTGTTTTTGAAGAGAGATCCAACGGCACCACAGGGACTACCACCTGGCTTGAAGAGAGCGGTTTGCGCCTACGTATGGGCCATAATCCTGTCCCACGCCAGCCGCCGGCAATATTCTCTTTCCTGAAGCCCTGCTTGCGGGCAAAGTCATACAGCCGGACCAAGTCGACCTTGCCGTCAGGCGTACAGTTGGTGAGGGCGTCGTTTACAGCCACAAGCCTCTTATACGCCTTCTTCACACTGGAAAAGCAGCCAATATCAAGGGGTTGAAGGACGTGAGAGCAGTGGGGGGGCAGGAAAAGAAGGTAAATATTGCTCCTGTAGCACCGGATCATAAAGTCGTCAGTGGTATGTGAGCCATGGCCATCACAAATAAGAAGACGTGGTTCTGATGGGTCCTTTGGTTGAGTCCTTGGGATAAAGACCTCTTCAAGCCATCCAACGGCCAGGTCGTTACTGGTCCAACCGTTCGATGATACGGCCACATACCAGTCCTTATCGAATTGGTCCTTGAACCATTGCTTTTGAAGGTCTTGGCCTTTGAAGATTACCCCGGGGGGGAGGACTCTCCCATCCTGGGAGATACACTCCAGCATAGTAGTCCAGGTCCTTTTTCCATTCTGTTTAACGTATACAGACTTTTTATCCCTCATTGAAGACCCCACAACCAAGCCGTTCTCTCCCTAACCTTCCATTATTCCTACTTCATCATGGTTATACCTGTTCTTGGGCTTGATCCAGCCAACGGTAGAATAAAGGTTAAAGAACTTGTTGATATTCTCCGGGGTAGCTTCGTTAACTCTAGCGTAATCAATCTTCTTTCCCACCTTCGTTTTGATACTGGGATGACGGCCAATAAAGCGGGTTACCCAGTGCTTCCCAATGGAGTAGATATCGGCTTGTTCAGCCAGCATACTGGCCGCCAGAGCTCTTACGTTGGCGTGGGTGGGAGCGTAGCCAAGGCTTTCCTGACGAAGGATCCATTGAACGATGAGGTCTTCCTGGCCCTGAGTAAGCCGCTGTTGATTTTCATGGGCCTGTTTGCAAACCTGGGTTCCTAAGATGCGGTGCCTCAGTGTAGAACGTGGAACCCCGTGCTTGTCGGACGCTTGGCGCTGGCTTATACCAGCAAGAATGTCTTGTTCGGCATTTGCGAGATCTTCCTCGGTATATTTGGCCATTGATGGGTACCTGGAGCAAAAAGAAGAAAAAGAAATGGTCCATTTTTGACCTCTGGGGGTGGAATATAAAGTTGGGGGGGCTTTCGGAGGTCCAGGGTTGTTGAGGGTTTAATGTGGAAAATGGCACTGGTAAGTTCAAGCCAATGTGGGCCACCTCTGTGGGTGGGCCATTTCCTGGTCATCCAACCTACACTGTGGTGTATTAGGTATTATGTGGAGAGAGTGTAAATTGGTTTTCTATGTGTTCCATCCGTGTTCCGAAATTTTGGGTTGATTGCCGTCGGGTGGCAGATTTCAGGGGTAAAAACAAAGTGGGCTGCTGCCAGAGCAACACTGTTCTTGGCAGAGCAACGTCGAGCCTGGTAGGTAATTTACTCTGCTCCTGCCTTTGCTTTTCTGTGCTTTATTTTCCCTTAACATGCCCCCGAGCATAACAAGAAGATGAAAACTTTGGGCAGTTCACAATGGCCGTTTTGTCGTGGTGGAAGATTTTGTTCGAGATCAAAGCCAGCTTAAATGGTGAGCCTGGCCCCGATCTCTGTTCCTTACGGAGTACTTCTAAGCACGGGAGATGGATGGATGATCTTGTAGCATTAAAGAGTCCCTCGTCGCATACCTTTATGTTTGAAATCCTGCCTTATAGATGGACGGCACTACAGTGAACATTGCCCATTTCATCCATGCCCCAAAGCTAGTTACTTCAGGAGAGTCGAGTCCGTGGGTCTCTCAAAATTGCTCCAGGCGTTCATTCACTTCAAAATCCATCTTGGGCACCACCAAGCCCGCTAGTTGGGGTCATGACCTCCGCGGCGCGCTCTGCGGCAAGATTCCCCAGCGTGGGAGCACGTCCACATGGCGAGTTCATCTTCTCAGCCCCGTATCTCACCATGAACAGGCAGGCCATGGTTTACCAGACCTTTCCCACTTGAAGGCCACCACCAAGAATACAAGCCTCCTTCGTCTTTTCGGCACGAGCAAGCCCATTGCTAGAAGGTATTCATCGCCGCGGCTACAACTACACCACATGCGTTCCATCGCCGTGGCTACAGCTATACCGCATCCGCTCCCTTGGCTTCAGCACGACGAGACCGTCCACCATGTTCAGGGTAGTGAGTGGAAGTGCATCAGCCGCGCTCTTCTCCCCATGACTTAAACAAGTCGCTGAAGGAAACCTATCCCTCGATGCGAACACCGAAGCTACCCCGCGCCCTCGCACGCGAGGGCACGACGTTTTGTATTATTGCCGATGTCTTTTCCTTCTGGTTGCGGGAGTAGCGGGACTTGCTCTTTTGCATCGACGACACATGTCTCTCCAGCGAGTTCACAATTGCGATGAAAGATGCTGTCTAATATAAGATAGGAGAAGAGATGTATGAAGAGCAGGTCGTCACTCATCCTGACTTGTAGTAATAGTAATGATTTGCTAACAACATACCTAGTAATATGCTAGAGCTTACTTCCCGGAAAGAATTGCAAGCAGTACTCATATTTGAGAGAAGAGACTGCACATCAAACGAAACTCTGTAATATGGTCTACACCTGTAAGCAAAATTGAGACGAAAGACATCATACAAAACTTCAGCTTTCCATCTCAAGTTAACTCTTCACCCTATCCAGCTTGGGTGCACCATCGTCTGCCAGTCGCAAGCGAGCAAACGCGAGTGCTGAAAGGTGATGAAATGCTCGGGGGAAATTATTAAGAGCAACTTCATAGGTGAGCGAGTGAAAGCAAGAGTGGTAATGGGAAGAAAGATTCGGGAGTAGTTAGCGATGTCGAGGTTGACGATCTGTTGCCTTCCGGCCGACGTGAAGCGCACCTCACCCAGCAACTTCCACAACAAATGACCCAGCGTATGTCTCCACAAGTACCACACCAGATATCCCACATGTCTCTCAATCCCAGAAGGTGCCTTAGCAAGCGGTCCAAAAACAATCCATCTTTGCTCCCACGTAGGCAAAGAAACAACAAGGTCTGGTGGAAATGGAAGAACTGTCAGTCACAACGTGTTTTGGTATTGAAGGAAAGATGCCCACACGAACTAGGATTGAAGAAAGGCTGTCTGGGAGCTGAGATCGGGGGAAAGGTTGGCTTCTGGTCCAAAAGTAGACCGAAATAAAGAAGAGATGCCTTGAATAATCAGGCAGATACGTGCACTTGTAGAAACCAGCTCAGCATGGTTTGGAGATCTGAACGATGATCCTTGTCTGAACTTGAAATTTGATGAGGTTTAACGGCCATAAAAACAAGCGTTATAATTGTTGTTGATAGCTGGGACGAAACACCCAGGTACTATCGAGAAGCGTGTGATCAGGATGAAGCAAGTAGACAAGATGCTGATGGGCTGGCCAGCCGGGGAGAGATCGATCCCTCCTGTCGACAAGTCAACATTTCTGGCCATGTCAGTACTGTCCCACGTTGTCTGTATGGGAGTCAACAGCAACAAAAGAGAGGCCAACTTTGTTAATTTTCTCTTGCCTTGTGTCCTGTCCAACATGAAAGAGGTTGGCAGGTTATTAGATTGCAAGAGGTGAATCAAGCAAACACGGGCATCTTAAAAGAATCATGAAACAGAGCGCCTGCTTGCATTATGTAAAAGTATAACTGAGGAAGGCAGCTCATGGACCGAAGATTCTTGTGATGGTCGATTTGGGCAAGCAGTAGACCTCGTCGACAAACTCCAGGCCGGGGTAGTCCAACAGGCTTAGCCCGGTGATGCCAAACAGCGTATGCCAGACATCCACCATGTCACCTGGTCGGTCCGAGATACCGCCCTTCTCAGTGTCTTGACATTGAAGGATGAAGTTGATGAGCCTGTCCCGATCGATCCAGTGTGTCTTGCCAATCATTTCCAGACTGCTCAGGACCCACCAGCTGTAGCAGACATCCTCCTTCTTCTCTGGTCGACCGTTCAGACCACCGTTGGCGAGCTGTCTCTCACTCAGCCACTTTCCTAACCGCTCCTTATCGATAAGATCCTGTCTCTTGGCGATCGTTAAGCTGGCCACACAGGTGAATATTTGCCCTGAGTGGGACTCAGCACCGGGACTGACACCGTAACCTCCGTCAAAGTTGGCACATGCCGCTACATAGTCAACGGCTTTGTCGACATCAATCAAGTCCATGAGGCCAAGAAGCGACAAGGCGTTGAAAGCACCGTACAGAAACCGAGTATCTTCTTCACCCCACTCGTCACCAGCAAACGTTCCAGTCTGCCGGTTCTGAAGGTTGGCAATGTCTGGGTCGACGGGTTAGTATCTTCACATAGGATATTGTTTTCCGAATGGCGAGGTTAACGACGCACATTTCCCTACAAGCGCCTTCCCCTTCCCTCGAGTCTCCAGCTCGTCAAAGGCATCTACCATGGCGAGGATCTGCACAGCGCTAACGGTAGAGAGCATGTGTGCATCGTGACCGGGGGCGGCACCGAAGCCTCCGTCTTCGTGTTGGCATGATAGTACAAAGTCGATGGTCTCAGAGCGTGGAAGGCCTTCGGGTACGCCGAGAAGGTGTAAGGCTGTCAAACCCCAATACACACCGTTGAGTCGCAGGTGTTCTGTTAGCCAGTAGTCATACTCGTCTTGTCTCGTATTGAGGCTTTGTATGTATTTGACATGAGCAGAAGTGGCGAGCTCCAGCTCTTCTGGGAGTTGTTGAAAAGCATCCGTCATGGTGAGGTGGTCGGTTTTATGAGTCCATAGAATTAGCTGTGAGTGTTGTCGAATCCCAAGCCAACAAAGGAATGACGTTAGTCCACAGGCCCCTGTTGAAGATCTTATGTAATCAGCATGGTAAGGTAAGTGGACCAGGCACCACCACCCCACTCATCTCAAGGTCCAGGCAGCTGGTTTCAACGCCAGCTGGCAGATATTGGCCAGGACATCACACAGGTTGCTGACACCTCAGCTATGTAAATATTCCAGCTTCACAGCACGGACCAGAAGCTGCCAAATAACATAAACGGCGTTTTGTTGAGGGATACTCGGATTATCCTGATGCGTCGATTTGTTCGTGTTCTGATTGGCCTCATTTTCGATATATAGTGTTCCGTTCGCTTGTTCGGCGCTTCGTTACCGCCGCCGTCTAACCACGATACGAGAAAGCAAGCTGCTCCACAACAAGAGCAGGGCGCCTTGTGCGAACAAGTCTGAATCTCCAGCGAATCGAGCTTGAAAACAAGCCTCGAGGGCCGTGACGCCACCTCATATGCATGCAGTCTGCGAGGTGACCATCCCGTACCAGGCAACAAGTCTGGATCGGATCAGTTTGGATGTAACTCGGATACTATAGGAGTCCATTGGGTGTTGTCAAAGATCAACTCATCGAGAAGGCAGCACTGCATCCTGGATACCCAGCTACCCAGTTTTGGGGCCCGAATTCGTGGCTTGAGCCTCTTCAAACCAAAGGGCATCCATTGTAGTATATACTGGTGAAGCACTGTGAAGCACTGAAGCCAGGAGGAGTAGAAGACGCTCAGACCAACTGGCAGATGGCCCATAGAAAAAGTGCCGAGTTTCAGAATTGGCTTTTTGTGTACCTGAAGCTAACCACATCAGGTTTGGTGTTGACAGCGGCCCCTCCTTTTCGATATGGCTTGGTTGGAGATGCGGAAGATGAGGATACAACAGATTCACGACCAGAGGTTCCTTCCAGCCTGGAGATGCGGGATTGATGAGGTCTCTATATGTCTCCTGCAAGGAATCACCTGTCTCGTGATTCACAACACAGACTAGATAATATCAAGGCCCCCCGAGACATGCGCATCGTGCTAATAATGGTTTCATGGATTTGGGTTCGAAGGGCAGCGACCGCTTGCGTGTGGCACCGAGACGTCGGGCATCTCGGCCTATCCCTTTCTTTCTTCTTCGAGCACGAGAGAACCATGTGTGCCCAAGGCGCCCAGTACGTGCCGGTTTTCATCAGCCGAAGAGAACAAAGACTGGCAATGAGCTCGAGAGTCGTTTTCCAGCGGATCAAAGAGTGGGGAGATAAGTGCTCAGAGCGGCACCCAGCCAGTGGCTGATGACCCCTCACTAGGCTGAGAGGGAGGTGCGAATGGAGCCCAGGTGCTTGGTGTGTTTAAGCACAAACGACCTTCGCCCTTGGTCCTCCTCCGCCTTGCCTTTCCCAACCAGTTCCAAACATCGCTGGCTGCTCAATAGACAACAGCAATATATTACTGAGAACCTGCCGCCCTCCTAGCGACACGACACCTTTGATCATCAGTCTCCATTCGTCTCCAAACCTAATGCTGAATACCCCGGCGTCTATTCTACGGAACTTCCCAATTCGACCCTTTGCCCTGACGGAGCTTCAGACAAAGCAGCACCCCTGACACCGCTCAGCGGCAGCGCATCGCATCATCGTGTGTCTGCAGCGCGGGCCAGCAGAGTGCTCTTGAGATAATCCCCGTTTCAGATTCCGGGCCACTTGGAACCTTGACGACACTCACCTTACTCATTTGGCCGGTTATCGACATTTTGGATACCAATACCAGAATACCTCTCCCATAATAGCTGGGCGTCAGATTTCATCGAAGCTGTTGTAACAGTGGTTGCATCCTGGTCGGCCCTGAAATCTGCAGGAACGGGCTTCGAAACGGGTGCATCTCTTCTCCGGGTCCAGCCTCTATTATCGTTCTTTCTCACCCATCCATTTCCACAATATCAGTCGAAAACGGTGTTGCAGAAACACCCACAAAATTGAGTCGTCCGACAAGGCACAACCCGAGCGCTCGGTTTCGACTTGTGGGCATCCCTGGTACGAAGTTAGGGTCAACGGGGTGAGGGTTACCTATGCCGCATGCGCTTGTCTTGGAGTAGGTGCGCAGCCCTGGGAACATCGACCTGACATTTCAACTCCTGGCCTGCGGTTCTTCCCATAACCCAGGGCCCTTTCCTTCCCGGACTCCGTGCCTCCTTGGGGGAGGGTGCTCACTTGTCGCAGCCTGCAATCTGCCTATTTTCCGCCTCTTTCGAGGCCTGGTACTGTAAGTTTCGGCCCAGCACCCGCTACTGTACCGTTGGGCTGCTTGGCTGGCGCGTTGCTCGCAAGACCACGCTGCACTGCACTGCTTGTTGCTGCAACAGCTGCGACAAGTCGGGTGGTCTTCGTGTGCGGCAAAGTGCTCGAGGTGCGAATCAGGAACAACCCAGGAAAAGCAGACGCCTGTTATATCCAGGCCCATCATTATTAGCTCCATCTGAGCGGGTGGCCCGGCGTCTTGCGCAGCCTCTCTCATTTGGCGTTTGACACCTGGCAGCAGTCTGCTGGCAGCATGGGCCGGAGCAAGCCTGTACCGCAGCCGCTTACGCTGCCGCCCAGCGACGACTCTCGTGGTGAAACTGTCCCCAATTCCGCTCGACTGACGACGGCTTCGCCCCGATCCCCGCGCTCCCCTTTCCGCTTCGGCCAAAAAAAGTCTGAGAACGCCGGAGAGCCTCTGCAGCTTGCCGACGTCTTGCACCAGCCTGAGAAGCAGAGTCCAATTCACAATCACCAACACGAACACCAGCTTCAGCAGCAACAACAACAACAACAGCAGCAGCAGCAGCACCAGCCGCGGCCCCAATACCAGCCCTCAGTCCAAGCCCAGAGCCAACCACACGTCAATTCACCAGGCCAAGCCCCGCTCCCTACTGAGCAACTAGCTGAGAAACGCCCCCTTGACCACACTCCCACCTCCTCGCCGCCATTGCACTCACCAGGAGACCGGACTGCCGACCAACAGAATCGACTGCCCAACCAGCCCCCGCCGCACCTTGGCCACAGAAACCCGCGGCACGACGACGACAAGGCTTCAAAGTCGAGTTTCTTCTTCAACTTTGGAAAGGCGGCCAGGCCGTCGGACCGTCCCTCCACACACCAACACTCAGACTCCCGCGCTGAAACTATGTCAAGAGATTCTGAACATTCCACGCCTTCGAATCAGAGCACTAAGCATTCGGGTATGTCGATCCAAAGTTTATCTTGCTTAGCTTCCACGGCCCACCCTTTTTGACCTACGGCCTGTCCCTCGGCCTAGTGTTTTGTGCGCGCGCAGCAGCCAACTTGACTGTCTCGCCCGGCTTTGTTTCATGGTTTGACTAACACTCTCTGGTGTCCGAAATTGCAGAACCACCCCAGCAGGAGACCTCAGCGCAAAGATCCATTCCCCAGTTGCCGTCCAGATCTCAAGTGTCACTAGCCTCGTCTGCCGATCACGATAGCCAAAACAATTCCGCCAACGCCTCCGGCTCGAAAAAGCACAAACCAAAGCCCTTCAACCTACTGAGCCGAAACAGATCGTTCAAGGACAAGGAAAACAAGGAGACCAAGAGCAGTCCGAGCCCCAGGGAACAGACTCTGGCACCATTAAAAGCCGGCGACTCGGAGAGGCTTGCCCCTCTGAAAACTGCCCCGCTCCAGGCACACGACCGATCGTTCCGCGACATGATGTCCTCGGCGGTCCGCAACCATTCGGCGGAAAGGCCGCAGGCGAGAGAGATTGGCGGAGGAAAGGGAAGGGACCAAGATGGGGGACATCGAGGCTTGCCTTCCTCTCTAAGAGAGGCGGGCGGATCCGCATTTTTCAGTAATCTCAAGAACAGCAAAGCTGCCGGCATTATCAGCACCCGTTTGTTCGGCAAGGACAGCAAGAACGAGCCCCCAGTACCAAGAGAGCCATTGATAGATGACGAGAGTTATGTGCTCAAAGTCATCAACCTGCCTCTCGTGGAGCAGACACGGTTGACCAGGATATCAAAGCGGCTGGAGGATTCGCGAGACAAGACGGAGTTCTGGATGCCCGCCTTCCCATGGAGAGCGATTGACTACCTTAACTATAAAGGAAGTGACGTAGAAGGATTGTACCGGGTACCAGGCAGTGGACCGCAAATCAAGAAGTGGCAAAGGAAGTTCGACGAAGGTATGATGCCAAGACGCCAAGAGATATACTGGAAACCCCCTTTGTGACCATTCTTGCTGACAGTGCGTTTGTAGAACTCGATGTTGATCTGTTTGAGCAGCCGGATCTTTACGACATCAATATTATTGGGTCGATGTTGAAGGCTTGGTTACGAGAGTTACCTGACGAGCTGTTTCCCAAATCAGCCCAAGACAGGATCGCCAGAGAATGCGCAGGCGCAGAGACGGTCCCCCAGCTGCTCATCGACGAACTTTCGAACCTTTCGCCTTTCAACTACTACCTCTTGTTTGCCATCACGTGCCATCTCAGTCTGTTGCTTGCCCACTCCGACAAGAACAAGATGGATTTCCGCAATCTCTGCATTTGCTTCCAGCCCTGCATGAAGATTGATGCCTTTTGCTTCAAGTTCTTGGTGTGCGACTGGCGCGAGTGCTGGAAGGGCTGCAAGAACGAGGCCAAGTACATCGAGGAGGAGTATGCGCTCTTTGATCAGCCACCACCTATGCGAGCTATCGGCGAGGCGAGGAGGAACGGAGCTCCCCTGAATGAGGAACACAAGCCAGAACCCCACAGGCCAGAGCCCCGGAATATTTCGTCATCGAACAGCAGCAAGAGCTCCATCAGAGGCGCGGCCGACAACCAACAGCCGCAGCAAAAGCAATCACGACCAAAGAAGAAGGCGCTGCCGGAGAGTGAGAGCATTGATACAGGCTCCACAATCTCGACAACACTGACCATCAACAGTGACATAGAGACACCACCAAGGCGATCAGGAGATTTGCGTCCCCTCTCGCCTATCAAGCCGCTCTCGCCTCTGAACTTTTAGGTGGACGCTGTACAAAAGCCGCAAACTGGATTCTCATGTCGATGGGATTCGGTATTCCTATTCTCATCGTCGAACGATCGTCACGCCCGTCCACGACTCTTTTCTTTACCCGTACCGCAGTGCGTATTTACCGGAACCACATCGTACCTACCTATTTCATTATCAACCCATCTAGCTGTTGGCAGCCATGAGAGAGGTTGCCAATCTTGCTTCGTTCGACCTTGATCAAATGGTCGATATCAAAACGTTGTCCACTACACAAGAGGACAATTACACACACACGGGGATACTGGAGATCACAACACCTGAATTTTGCTTTGTCGTTTTTTTCCAAGTCAGAGGGGGTTTTAGCATGCGGGCCGTTCTTGTTTTGGTGCTTTGCGTTGATTTATCTGCCTTTGCTTTTCGTGTCAGTTTGGAATACCCCGTCCGGCCTCGTTTTCTTTTATTTTTGTGTTGAAATACCACCACGCGCAAGACGTGGGAAAGGGTATTGAAGTTTTCTTTTAATCACGAAATTGATTCACTTCTCGCTAGTTGTGGTGTAGTAGTGGCTGGGAGGGGGGCTGTTGTTTATAAGTGCTGAAGAGAAAAGTTTTTCCGGCCAGGCTACTCCGGGTGGGAGGTGGATAAAAAGATGACAAGCATCTTTTGTTCATGAGTGGCCTTGGTCTAAAACACTTTGTGTATGGGGGGGATGGGAAAGGGGAAGGGGGCATTCAAAAGCAGCAGCGGCAAGTGTACGATATTGACTTTTTTGGTTTCTGGAAGGCTGGTGCTTGTTTGGCTGGAGATGGGGTGGTCAAGAAAAGAGGGAGGGATTGTGGTTGCAGTTGTGTGTGTGTGAATAATGAAAAATACAGGATTGGATTGTCCAGGGACAGATCACGCTATTCTGTTTGCTTTGAAGAGACGTGAACAACCATTGCATATTGCATGACAAGAATTGTTTTATTTCCCCTTGTCCTCCACCAGAGAGTGGTGTCAAGTCCACCCCAAACCCATCAACGCCAAAGAAGCAAAGAAGATAACAACTGAATCCCCAGGAAATCTGATTTCTCCCAAACGCCCATTGATATCATGTGCCAACACCATTAACAGTTTTTTACTTCCTCTGCCCAGCGTGCCTCTCATTCCTCCTCATCCTCCTCTCATTCCTCTTGATATTCTCCCTAATCTCCCTCCTCTTGTCACCCCTGATACTCGTCCCCTCCTTCCTCTCCAGCTCCTTCTTGGAGTTGTGCTTAATCTCGATGATCGCCTCGTCCTGACCGGCCTTGTTGGCGCCCTTGTAACCCCACTTGCGCTCGTGCTCGCCAGTCTCGGGGTTGAGCTGCAGGTTGCGGCGCTGCTCGCGAGTCTTGGGCTTGATGCCGCGGCGTCTGGCGAAGGCGGCCCATTTAGTCTCTGGCTTGGGGGTGGGGACGGGCTTCTCGCGGGGGAGGGGGGTGACGGGGCCGGGGAGGGAGAGCAGGACGCCGGCGGGGGTGGAGGATATGGGGAGGGTGGTGAGCAGTTGGTTGATTAGGGACTGGGTGCCGTCTCTGGCGATGTCGTAGAGGGAGGACTCGAGGGAGGGGCCGGTGCTGGCGGGGAGGGAGAGGGGGTTGGGGTCGTTGGCTAGGAGGAGGCCGAGGTCGAAGGTGTAAGGGGTGGGCTTGGAGACTGTGACGGGGAGTTTGGGGGGTTTGGTATCGGTGGACATGGTGATGGTCTTGTGAGATTAAACCAGGAAAGTTGTGGTTTTGGTTTGGTTGAGAAGGAGGTTAAAGGTCGAATTGATGGTGTTAGCGGACAGAGATTGGTGTTGCGATGTCCGACGCAGAAGTGAAGCTTGACTTGTTGCGATGCGATTAGAGTTGAATGGCAAGCAAAGAAACTGGAGGCGCTTCTGAAAATTTGGGCGGTCAAAAGCTGCAGAAACCCAACAGCTTGGAGATTGCGGGGCAGAAATGTGGAAGAACCCCGGCTTTATTGGCGTCGCTTTCCAAGCTTCGACCGAACGGCTGCTTGGCTTTGAACTGCCAATAAGTGGTCTGTGCTTCAAGAACCTCACAGCCGTCCGATTTTGAGTTCAGAGATTTTGGAGGCTGCTCGACAAGCGGGACCAGCTTCCGGGCCGTAAGTGCAATTGGCGACGCCGACGACCCCTGACACCGGCCCCCTACGATGCGATAGAGCGCCCTGCTACCGATAGACAGAAATTCACAAAATAAACCCCGCAAAAATGTCGGCAAGCAACTGCCTGAGATGCCTTGGCCGGCCATCAGTGGCAGGAGCTTCGAGAGGTGTTGTTGTGCCCGTCTTTGCGCCCAGAACGGCGGCTCCCTTCTCGACGACTGCTGTCCAGAATGCTCTGCCGGCGAAGCCAAAGAGCGCCGAGCACCAGGACCGGTCGGTGAGGGTGTACCGTGCGGGCAGGAAGATGACGATCAAGAAGAAGAACACCCAGGACAGGGGCAAGCCCCCTCTCCCAGGCGAGCGCAAGGCCTTCCGCAAGAAGATTGTCCTCAGCAACGACAACGCCTTTCCCGTACCGTGGGTGACAGAGATGGAGGCAAGCAGCTTGTCGAACGAGAACAAGGTCGGCAGCATTGTGTCACTTCCCCCTGCGCTGCAGGATCAACTGCGCGCCACTGAGGCTTTCCAGCCTACACAGACTTGGGGCTTGTTCAGAAAGCCCTCGACATTAATCCGGAAGGAGACGGTCGGGTTGACGGGCAAGATGGAGAAGGCGGTTGAGAACAAGCAGACGGCTCGTATTGTCCTCGCGGGTGAGAAGATCTCGGGCAAGAGCACCATGCTCCTCCAGGCTCAGTCACACGCCTACCTCAACAACTGGATTGTGATTCACTTCCCAGATGGTATTTCCCCCTTTTTCCCTCCCCCTTTTTGTAACCCCCCAACTAACACGCTTCCTCAGCCCAAGAACTCACCAACGGCTCAACCGAATACGCCCCCATCCCCAACACCGAAAACCCAACTCTCTACATGCAGCAAAACTACTGCCTCAAGCTCCTCCAATCCATCAAAAAGGCCAACGAGAAGATCCTCGCCAAGCTGCTCTCCGTCTCCAACCACAACGAGCTCCCCCAAAACATCACCGTCAACCAGCCCCTCCTGTCCCTGATCAACGCCGCCAAAGAAGCCGAGGGCGCCTGGTCCGTCTTCCAGGCCCTCTGGTCCGAACTCAACGCCCAGGGCGTCAACCGGCCCCCCATCCTCCTCAGCATGGACAACCTCCCCCACATCATGAAGATGTCCGAGTACCGCTCTGCCTCGTTTGACAAGATTCACTCTCACGACTTGTCTCTGGTCAGGCTCTTCACCGAGGCCCTGGCGGGCAACACCCGCTTCCCGTCCGGTGGTGCCGTCATCGCCGCGACAAACAGAAACAACGGGCCGCGGATTCCGAGCATGGAGTTGGCGCTGAAGCAGAGGTTGGCGGAGCAGATCAAGGTTGTTGAGGGTGAGGAGGCGCCCGAGCCGCCGGTGAGGGATCCTTATTTCAAGGGGTATGATGATAGAGTGGAGAAGGTGCTCAAGACGGTGGAGGTGATAGAGGTGAACAAGATTGGGAAGAGGGAGGCGAGGAGTTTGATGGAGTATTGGGCTGCTAGTGGGTTGTTGAGGACGACAGTGGATGAGCAGGTTGTGAGTGAGAAGTGGACGTTGGGTGGGTGCGGTGTTTTGGGCGAGATGGAGAGGGCGGCGTTGTTGACGATGAAGATTTAGGGATGATTGGGGGTTCGAAAAATCAGGGGGGTGGGGAATAAAATGTATATTTGTGTATCATCAGTGATAGATAGTATGGGCCTCATGATGAAAAATTGTATTGTAGAGTTTTTGAATGCTGTTTACGTTGGAAATGATATCTATTCCCAAAGAATTGTCTGCTTTTGATGCTGGATAAGTTGGCATGGCTTATTTGAGGGGCGTCAGAAGGGCACAGGTAGAATATTTTCCCATGTTTTTTGTTTTAGCTCATCCTACAAACACTATACGGACAAAGCTAATGGTAAAATCTCTGGTATCCGTTTCCCAAACCCATCAAACCCAAACTAGTAGACAAGACATAAAACGCCACAAACGCAGTCAAAATCTCACCGCTTCCAAAGACTCTCACAGCTCCTGGCTACCTTCCCTATCATTCGCCACAATAAACACCAACCTCGACCCATTGCCAGTTGTTTGCCAGATCTATTCATTCTCTTGTTAGCATAGTGTCTCAAATCAAGGTCAGTCGGGGTATCAAAACTCACGTTCAAATCTGTGTACTCCTCCAAAGCAGTCATCCACTGGTTCTCCGTGAAACCCTTCGCAATCACTCTCTCCTTCACCTTCCTCAAGTTCAGCTCCACACCAAACTCGTTCTCGTTATCCTCATCATCCTCCATCTCATCCGCCCGGCAAGCGCCACTGTCCGCAAGACCCTTGACAAGATTGAAGATCTTGCTGCTGGCGTTGAGGCCCCTTCTGCCGGTCCGGTTCCCATCGTCCATAGCGAGGGACTCCTTCGAGGCTTCGATCAAACGCAGCGCTTCATCTACATCTTCTTGCTTAACCGTGTTGCTGAACTGGAGACGGGCGAGAGCCTGCGCAAGACGGACGATGCCGAGAAGAGTACGGGGGGTGGTATGCCCAAAATTTTGAGACTTCTTCTCGTTGCGCTTGTGCTGGTTGCGGAGGCGGACGTAGGTCTTGACCATGTAGTCGGCGACGTTCGGAGGGAGGACAGGGCGGTAGGTGCGGGCCTTGGCAACATAGGCACGGACTTCGGCTGGGCTGAAGACGAAGCCGTCCGAGGTGTCGATGTCGGGGTGCTTGTTGTGCATGTGAACGTAGGCGACATGCTTGGCGAGTTGGGCGTCAGTTTCTCTTGTTGGGGTGTCGAGCAACAGGAACATGACGTCGAAACGGGAGAGGAGGGCGGCGGGGAGGTTAATGTTTTCGACGGCGGTGAGACGGGTGTTGTAACGGCCATAGAGAGGGTTGGCGGCGGCCAGAATTGACGTGCGGGCATTGAGAGAAGTGGAAATACCGGCCTTGGAGATGGAAATCGTCTGCTGCTCCATGACTTCGTGGATGGCAGTACGGTCGTTGTCGTCCATTTTGTCAAACTCATCGATACAGCAGATACCATTATCAGCAAGGACAAGGGCACCACCTTCAAGGACCATCTCATCTGTTACAGGGTCGCGCATGACGGCAGCAGTGAGACCGACACCGGATGAACCACGACCAGAGGTGTAAACACCGCGAGGAGCCACCTTCGAAATGTACTTCAACAACTGAGATTTGGCCACACCTGGGTCACCCATGAGGCAGATATTGATATCACCACGGATACGCATACCGTCACCAACCTCCTTGGTAACGCCACCCACAAGCAGCAACAGGAGTGCCTTCTTGACGTCGAGGTGACCGAAGATTTCAGGGGCGATGGACTTGGCAAGGTACTCATACTGGTTGCCGGACTGAAAGGACTTGGCGATTCTCCTTTCCATCAAGGGATCGATCTGCATATCCTCGTAGGCCTTCTTGTGCTGAATGACATCGTGTGCCTCGAGGTAAGTGTCGGTCAAGAGACCAGCGCGCATGGCCTGGAAACCGGTGTAAGGTGTTGGGAGGAAAATGCCGGAAATATCAACAGTATCACCAGGGTGCACTTTCCGCACAAGAGTGCCATAGCAAAGTACGGTAAGTGTCCTGGGAATCTGACCAATGGGCACCTGCTCGGCAAGTTCCTGAATCTTAACCTCCTGGAAGGGCAGGAACTTGGAAGCTCTTGATGATGGGTACAGCTGACCCTTGGCCTGATTTTCCTTACAATCCTTCGACGGGCACAGTGTGAGGGGACCGTACTGCTTATCGGACACGGGCTGGAAAATTTCGCAACCGCAGCGATCGCAAGTATAGGCGCTGACCTGCACAATAGGCTTGACGTCTGATACTCTGGTGGCGATGCCGCGGATGGTGATGAGGTGTCCGAGGTGGTCGCCACGGACTTGTCTGACAGAGAGTGCCTTCAGGGGCTCGCCCGACATGGCGGTTCTGGGCTTGAAGACAAGGGTGTATCGGCGGGTGAGTTGCGCAGGGTATTGCTCGTTCAGCATAGCTGGGTCCGCAGTTCTCTCAGCGGCCTCAACCAGATCCGCGTTACGCTGGGCCCGGTTGGCCATTAATACGTCGAGCACATCGTCCTTGAAAGTAAGTCCCTGAGTTGGTTGTGGCATCAACTTGTCGATGGCCCTCGAAAGAATCTCGACATAGTGCTTTGTGTTCTTCTCGATCGACTCAACGAGCTTGAGCTCCAGGCCCAAGTCCTCTTCAAACTGCATCATGGGTCATTAGAAAATGTTCATGTCGAAAAGGGGCCGTAATAGGAGCAGAACACACCGTATGGATGTCATCCAGCTCGATTGCCACCTCGTTTGTCTTTCTGTCGGCCAGTTCTTGGAGAATCAGCTTGTATTTGTGTACAGGCTCCTTGGCTCCTCTCCTTTGCTGGCGGCGCCGTTGCTGTCCCGCCTCGTCATCCTCATCCATAAAATCATAATCATCGCTCAGGTCGTCCTCGTTAATTGTGATGTTTCCCAGCGCAGTGGTGATGGTCTCCTGCGGCGACGTCTTGAAATCGGTAAGGAAATGCTCAAAGGCCTCTGCTCCACCGTCAGCGCACTGTTGATATTTTACTGCCTTTGTTTTGTTTTGATTTGTTTTCCAAATTTTCTTCAGGGATGGTTGGGCCGCGCTCACCTTGCTGTTCGCCGTACTCGACGGGCGCTTTCATGTTAAAGAGAGCCATGGTTGCGACGTTTGTTTACTTGCGCCCGGGATGCGCTGGGTCGCAGTGTTGATGTGGTTGTTGGGACGGGGATGGGAGCGTCGGGCTTTCAGTTGAAGATGATCAAGAAAACACCTGCTGCTGGTGCTAGGATGATGCGGGATGGAGGCCGGGCACTGCCAATCCAATGCCCCTGTCAATGTTCCTGACAGGGGGCACGCGCTGGAACGCGGTCAGGCACGGAGCGAGACGTGTCGTGGGCCAAGAGGCAATTAAAAGTGTTCCACGTTCAGGCTCTCAGCTGTGGAGGGGCACTGTCGGACGGGTGCCAGCTGGGAGAGCCCAAGAAGGACCGGTGACCTTGATGGTCGGAGCTTGCCTCGGCACATGCCACCCGCTGATTGCCGGGAAACCTTCCCCGTCCGAGAGCTGCCCCGAGGTGAGCTGCATCCATCCGATGCGCTATCCCATGCGCTACGAAAGCGGACCCGATCAGCTGCATCTTCTTTAACGCCGGGGAGAACGGCGTCCCTCCGTGTGCAACACCATCTGTACATACTACAATTGTTTTTTCTGTTCTTGTTCCTCTCTTCGCGGTACCCCAGAAGCCCAGATTGAATTCAGTAACAGATACAATGGCGCCGCGCAAGAACGCGCAGTCAACGGCTGCCGAAATATCACTGGTACATCTACAGAACTGTTTTGCAAACCTGCCCCAGTCGCTGGCCTCTTTGCTCGCCAACGTCAACACTGTAAGCGCTTTCTTTTGTCTTTTCATAGTCTGTAGCTCTTATGTGACTAAATGATATTAATTGTGTTCTTAGCCCGCTCAAAATGTCATTGTCGAACTCACCTACCGCGTCCCTACCCCTCCTGGCTCAGGGGCTGCAGCATCGTCCACCAAGTCCATCTACCTAGGATGGACCGGCATGCCCAGCAAGCGCAGAGTCGCCCCGATCGTAGACAGAAACGGTATCAATGGGTCAAGAAGCGGCCGTGATCAGGAAGTTCCCCTCGTGGAAATCGACGCAACGCTGGCTGCAACCGTGGGGTTGAAGGATGGACAAAAGGTCACAGCGACGATACACTTCGACCCCCCTATGGCGACCACCGTCAACATTGAGCCTCTGACGCCCGAGGACTGGGAGATGATTGAATTACATGGTAGCTTCCTGGAGGACAACTTGTTGTTCCAGATCCGCGCGGTACCAAATCCCACTTATGCGCCTGGAGGCGTTCTTGCTGGTGCGCATCCATTGACGCTTCACCTCTCACAAACGTCGACCGCGAGCATTAAAGTACTTTCCCTCGACCCCCCACTGTCGGCAGATTCCCCCTTTGCCAAGATCGCCCCCGACGCCGAGGTTATCGTGGCCCCGAAGACCAGGCAAAAGCAACGAAGTAGCAAGGACAACAGAAGTGTGGGCGGTGCCTCGAGGAAGAGTGGAAAGAGCACAGGGAGTTCCAGGCGGAAAAGTGTCAAAGAAGAGAAAAGGCCAGTTCTGTTCTTCCGCAGCGTTGACAAGAAAAACTGCCTGGAGTGGTTTGACGAGGGAGTAGAGGTGGACGATCTCAGTGTGTGGGTCGATACGGATATGCTCTTTACCAAGGAGCTGAAAGGAGTGAACTATGTTGCGGTCAGTCTGGTGCGCCCAGCAGGACTCCAACAACCGCTCGATTCGCAGACACAACCTCAGGAGGCAGACCCAGCATCCAAAGCATCCACCAAAATCATTGCCCACCTGCGTTCTTGGGAAGAGCCGCCAGATGGACAGACCGCAGCACTCTCAACCAGTCTGTGTGCCGCTCTCGGCTGCCAGGGACTTGTGGGAGGGGTTGTGAAGATTGAGCCCGCCCCTACACCGTTGCCAAAGAAGACGCCAGATCAGGAGGGAATCAACCGCGATTCGGTTCAAAAAATCAAGGTTTTCCCCTTTCAAACAACAAAACCTACGATATCAGCAGGCCTCAAATTTGGTGGACAGTCGAAAGCCGAGCGCGAAGAGGGTGCCAATCAAGTCAAACATATCTATGGCACCGAGGGTAATTCATTGCTGGCTGGACCGTTGACGGATGGCCAGGTTCTCGGAGTTCACGATGGCATGACATTCCCACGAGGTTGGGAAGGTGCTGTTGTCCGATTTGAACCTTCTCAGCCAACCTCTCAGAGTGGCAAGAAGCCCCTGAGCTGGATCTTGGGATCAGAGTGGAGGTTGCCCATCTCCATTCAACCACCAATTCCTAAGCCTGCTTGGCTTACTGAGTTTGAAGCTGAGCTAGCCACTGAACCGTCTGATTCTCTGCTCGTAGGCATCGACTCGTTGCTTGACAAGCTCAAGACTCATGTTATGCATATGTCTTCGGTTCTCTTGACAGGCGGTCAGGGTGCTGGCAAGACCTGTGTGGCACAACACATTGCCCATGCTTTGCGGTCATCTCAACTGTTTCACACCACTTACTTTTCCTGCACAAAGCTCTTGGGTGATGAGAGCCGGGTCACCACTATCAAGGAGACCCTTAACCGTCTGTTTATGGCTGCCAGCTGGGGTGCCAGGCTTGGTGGCAAGGCGCTCGTGATCCTTGATGATTTGGACAAGCTCTGCCCAGCAGAGACAGAACTCCAAGTAGGCAACAACAATGCCCGTGCTCGGCAGATCAGCGAGGCGATTTGCTCCATGGTCAAACAATACTGCGGCCGGGACAGCAATGTTGTCTTGCTGGCCACCTGCCAGGGCAAAGAGTCTCTTCACAACGTCCTCGTAGGCGGTCACATCGTTCGTGAGATTGTCGACCTGGCCGCTCCCGACAAGGAAACCAGACGTCGTATCATGGAAGCTCTCACCAAACAAGGCTCCGTCTCTCCGGAAGATTCCTATGCCAACGACGATGACCCCGAAGACATCAGCCGCCCCACTACCGCAGATGGCAGCGCCACCGATGGTGACGGAGACGGCTGGATGGACGGTCCCAGCCGCCCTCCACGCCAAAACACTCGCGCCAAACCAAGTGGCTTCATCCTCGATGCCGATCTCGACTTCCTCGACATCGCCGGCCAGACAGACGGCTACATGCCCGGCGACCTCATCCTCCTCATCTCCCGCGCCCGCAACGAGGCCCTTTCCCGCTCCGTCACCTCTTCTCTGTCCTCCAACGTTCCCAATCCAAACCTAACCACCATCCACCTCTCCCGCGCGGACTTCACCTCCGCCCTGAAAGGCTTTACCCCTGCTTCCCTCAGAAACGTAACCCTCCAATCCTCCACCACGACTTTTGCCTCGATCGGTGGTCTCCAGGAAACCCGCCAGGTCCTCCTGGAAACACTGCAGTATCCCACCAAATACGCCCCCATTTTCGCCCAGTGCCCCCTGCGGCTCCGTTCAGGGTTGTTGTTATACGGCTACCCAGGCTGCGGCAAAACCCTCCTCGCCTCTGCCGTCGCGGGCGAGTGCGGCCTGAATTTCATCTCGGTCAAGGGACCAGAGATTCTGAACAAGTACATTGGTGCCTCTGAAAAATCCGTCCGCGACCTCTTTGCCCGAGCCTCGGCCGCTAAGCCGTGCGTGTTGTTCTTTGACGAGTTTGACAGCATCGCCCCCAAGAGAGGCCACGACTCGACTGGTGTGACAGACAGAGTAGTCAACCAGCTTTTGACGCAGATGGATGGTGCGGAAGGACTGTCTGGTGTTTACGTGCTCGCTGCTACCTCCCGGCCGGATTTGATCGACCCTGCGTTGCTACGACCGGGAAGATTGGACAAGAGTTTGCTCTGTGACTTTCCCAACGAGGAAGACAGATTGGATATCATCCGTGCGTTGGCCGGGAAAGTGAAGGTAGATGAAGAAGTTTGGGGGGATGAGGGGGTGCTGAGGGAGTTGGGGAGGAGGACGGACGGGTTCAGCGGGGCGGATTTGCAAGCGCTGGTTAGTAATGCGCAGTTGGAGGCTATTCATGATGTTTTGGGGGATAGGGAGACTTCTGCCACGGTTGTTACTAGGAGGGGGGAGAAGGGTAACAAGGGGACGGGAAGGACGAGGGATTTCTTGCAGTTCAAGTATGGGGAGGAGGAGGTGAATGGGGATGTGGGGGTGCCGAAGACGAGGCAGCAGATGCTGGCTGAGCAGGCGGCTATTGTGGGGAAGTTGGAGGGGATTAAAGCTGCGAGGAAGAGGAGCAAGGTTGCGCCAGCGGGGCAGAAGCAGCTGGAGGATAAGAAGGAGGTTGATGCTGGGGGGAACAAGGAGGTGGTGATTAAGTGGGCGCACTTGGAGAAGGCGTTGGAGGAGACGAGGGCTAGTATTTCTAGGACGGAGAGAGCGAGACTGGAGAGGATTTATAGGGAGTTTGTGGATGGGAGGAGTGGGGAGATGAAGGATGGGCAGGGGAGTATGGAGATTGGGGGGAGGAGTAGTTTGATGTAGAGGGCGTGTGGGGGGTGTAATTAATGTGTATAAGTGTGTATAAGTGTGTGTAATCAAAATCATTAGAGATGTGCAAGTTTGGGTTATGTTCAAAAAGCTGCCAAAGAGGTTGGTTTGTGCGAGTCATCAATTGCGAGAAATCTTTTTGATGTATGGTGCAAAATGAACTTTTGTCTAGCCCCTTTCTGTTTTCTTTCCTGTCCTTTCATAGCCACTTGAACGGGTTAAAATCCCAAACCTCCATGCCAACACCACCCACCAGCACCTTCCCTGACTCGATAACCTCCACATCCCCCACATCAGCTATCCCACTGTACCTATTATCCTGCAGCGATATCTTCATCCCCTGTCCGCCCTCTCCAGGTACCGCTCTCCAAAGCTTGATCCTCTGGTCATTGCTCACCGTCACCACCTCAATCATATCCGTATCATCCCTCACAATCTTCAGCCCCGTCACAGCCGCGCCGTGAGCAGAAGACACCCTGTACCGCCCACTCACCACATACTTCACATCATTCTCCTCCATCCTCAAATCAGTGATGACAAGAGCGTTATCGTCTCCACCCGTGGAGATAACATAGTGACAGTCTTCCAGATCAACTACATCAAGAGACTTGATACTACTCTGATGCACCTTCAACAACAACTTCAACCCCAGCGGCGAGTTATTCGCGTGCCCAACATCCGGGTCTATGTTCAGGTCTGGACGTGTCCAAATGGCGATGTGGCCGTCGGTATACGCCACCAGGATGTCTCCATTAGACAAGAATCGCAACTGCGTCGGACAAGCGCCCGTATATTTCGCCTCGCTGCCAAACTCGAATTCCTGAGTCCTTTCGCCATAGGCATACGTCTGGATGGTGGAGTTGGAAAGCGCAATCGCAAACTCGTTGTGGTACTCCCCGATGTAGTTGGTTGACCAGGAAAAGTCCATGATCCGCAGGTCTTTGTCCTTGCTTTGGAAGTTCCAGACAGCTTCGCATTTAACAGCGATGGTCTCATAGTCCGATTCGAGACGGGTGATGTCCCATATGAAGAGCTCCTCGCTTCCGCCGCAGCTAACGAGGGTGCTGTCACCCTTCCACTGGAGGGACTGGATGCCGGAGGAGTGCTTCTCTAGCGTGGCAAGACACTTGAAACCTTGTCCGGTTGGCGAGGGTGTCCAGATGCGGATCACGGTGTCTTCTGCTGCTGTGGCGATGTACTTGAACGAGGAGCTGCACGCTACAGCACGGATTTCTCTACCATGACCGCCTTCTTTGATGGTTCTGAGGAAGGTGGACGATTGTGAGTAGAAGCGGAGGTGAGAGGATTTGGTGAAAACCAGGCGAAGGGCGTTGGGGTTCGTCAAGGCGGAGATAATGGCGAATGAGCGGTGGGCGCCGCCGCATTCAAGGGATGCTAGGACGGCGGATGTTGTAGCATTGTAGTAGATGAACTGTTTTCCTTTGAATCCATGGAGGATGAGTTCCGGGTTCTCGGCTGTGGTGAACCAAGCACCCTCGATCATGCCCATTGGCGGTGAGATTTCATGTTGGAGACTAAAGGTACGATTGTCCGCCCTAAGGGTGTACATGCGGTATATTCCGTCCCGACATGTGGTAAGAAACTCGCGGGAACATCCAGGCAAAGGCACAATGGCGGTAATGGCGTCTTTGGTTTTGGGATCCCGGCAGGAGCACCCTGGGAAGAGGACATCGGTTTTGTCTCCCGAGTTGGGATAGGAGGTGACGAAACCCACGCGAGACCCCAGCATAATAACTGAACCAACTCGAGCTGCCGCTGTAGGGATGTAGTTTTCCTTGAGAGAAAGAGTAACATTGCCAAAGCTTGGTTCGTTTGTTGAAGCGTTGAAACTGAGAATATAAGCGCGGTCGGCACCCAGCACCGTGACGACTGCCTGCCAGTTCTGAGCATCGGCGGCCACAAGCGGCAGAATATCCTGAATCTTTCCCGGCAATTGTCCAACAGAGCGGATTGGCTTTTCGCTTTGCAAGACATAGACATTTCCAGCTGCGCTGCCGAGAACAACTGTGTCCGCAGCCACGGTCTTCATAACATTGTAGGACCTCAAATCAGCCACAACCTCAGCAGGCAGCTGTACCTCCCTCCATTTTGGTTTTCCTTGGATATCAGCCATGAATATCCTCCCCGGAGATGTGGTTGAAACCACCCTGGAATCCGACAGGAAGGCGTACTTTTGAAAGGCTTGCCTGGGGTCTCCTTTCGGCAGAGGGCTCATTAAGGAAGTCTCTGGATTCTTTTGAATGTGTTCAAGAACGTCATCAAAAGAAAGATTGAGATCAAAATCCTCAAAGCCACCCTCGGAGGCTGAATTTGACAAACCCCCAGAAACGACAATCTTTCCATCCGCTCCGCCAGTGGCTATTATGGAAGCCCGTCCCTCCCTATTCGAGACAGCAGCGGACCAAATATTCTTGCCATTATGGCAACCGTCAGTCGTGCGGTGCTTCAAAGCCCCCTTTGGCCCTTCCGACCCAGTCAAGTCAAGACTCAACTCCCATTTTTGTCTTGTAGTATCCTCGCCGAATGAGTACACATTAATGGGACCATTTGATCTCGATGTGTATTCCCCAAACTTGACATGCCATATCCTTGACAAATGTCCCATGGCAACTGCCACACATCTTGTTGAGTCGTTTTTGTTCTCCTCCTTCACTTCCGAGTTACCACCAAAACCGGTCTCTCTCGCTTCCCCAAGGGCTTTGGAATCTATTTCCATTCCATTTTCCCCGACAACGAGATGTCGATTAGTAATGTCCCATATCCTTATCGTCCTATCGTCACTGCAGCTTGCCAGTAGCCTGAACTTTGACCCAGGGCTAAATTCGAGCTCTGGTGATATAGTAACACCGAAAATCGACCCTTCGTGTCCACCAAACACGTATAGCACCTCCCATTGAGACGGCCTGCAAGAGTCCAGGTAGAATTTCCAGACAATAATCTCCCCGAATACTGTGCCGCCTGCTACGAGGATGGTGTTGTCGCCCAGAAACGTGAGGTTCGCAGAATACAGGATGGGCCTCGATGGCGACACCACAGGCCCTAGCTCGAGGAGGTTTCCGTCTGAACTGAGTTTGAGAGTGACAATTTCGTTATGAGCGGTGACTAGCGCGCCCAGAGTCTCGCCGTTGCAAGAGAAGAGGATGCCATCGTAGATCCAGTCTGGCGCTTGAAACTCGGTGGGTAACTCGGTAGGGGCGGTTCCTTGAATGAGGGATGCAACTGACGACGGTGGGAGAACCATGACAGATTGCCCACCCCAAATCAAGAATCCCCCTTCTGTTGTTGGGGTGCCATCCTCAGATTTCCAAGCATGAATTCCATGGATAGGCTGTGAGTTGAAAACTCTGAGTTGGCTGACGAGGCGAGAGGTGGCTACGTCATAAATTCTGAGCCAGGTGTCTTCACCTGCAAGGAGGTATGAAGAGTTGGACTCGGCATGATAGATCTCGAGGGCGGTGATGGGACTGAGCACAAAGCTCTGTTGTAGTTGAGTTCGAGGATGAGGGGTGCTCTGAGATGTAAAGTTAGTGAGGGGGTTCGGGTTGTGTGTGAGTGACTCACGAGAGTTTGTAGGTTGAAGCCAACATACCGTTTGAGACATAATGATGACGTAAGAAATACCCGTTGATAATGTGATTCGTCTTCATAGGTGTCATAAAATCATTTTCATGTGTGAGCGTTATTCGTGTGCCAGTGGTGTGGTTTTGAGTGTGAGGGAAGCAAAGGCTCAGGGTGTGAGAACTTTCGGCCAATAAGCACGCACCAATAGTGACCCACTCAGGCAGGCTGCCTGAGTGGGTCCATGGACCCCTTTCAACTTCAACTCGTGAACTTGAGGATGGCCAAGGCATCATTCCACATTTATGCTTAGGGTTCAAGTTGATGTGAGGTGGGATGAATAAGTCTTCTTATTTCCAAACTAAAGGCCGTGTAACGCAAGACAAAATTGCCCAAGTGCGTGGGCAGCTAGCTAACATGGCAGACCAAATTCTTCATATTGATCAGGACTGTTGCCGTATAAAACAACTTCAAGTCCACTTGTTACTTCTTCGTTCCTCCAGACTCCTCTCCCTCTGAGCTACTACCGGTGACTACGCCGCATCATGGCCGTCCTTGATGGTGGCACCACATATTTTGCAGACGTTATGTCTCGGGACTCCCGGCATTGTGTTTAAGAAAGCTTGTTGGTCGTAAGAATTTTGTGTTTTTATGTGCGTAGTGTTGGTTGTAGTTTGTGGGTGAGAGCTGTCGAGTGATGGTTAATGGAAATGTCGATGACAGAAACGTTGTTAGGTAGAGAGACTCGGTGCGTTGCATTTTCTTATATACAACTTTTCCAATCTTTTTAAGCCGGCTTTTGCGCTCCATTGACGTGGCATCATTGGTAAATGTGAAGGTGTCATTACGGTATCTATCATGTGGCATCATGGTGTTCATGGTGGTCTCATTGAACTGGGTAATATGGCCTTTTAATGGTGTTCTGGTGACCCGAAACTCGGCCATATGCTGGGTTGATTGTGAGGTGAAAGATAGAGGGAGATCAGAGGTTGAGGAGTGAAACGAGAAGTTACAAGACACATATGTCACACCAAAAGCACAAACAGAAAGACTTAGCGTTGAAACAAGCACCATTCATCAGCGTCAATTTGCCCAGTCGCTTCCCGAGCGTATGTCACCCTGGCCTCTTCGTAATAACTGTGTTGTTGTTACGCGTATGCTGACTTGGCTTTTGCATTATAGGCTTCTACGTAAACATGGGTACGATGAGCCAAACCGCATCTCGATCCTGAAGTAGCAATCATCTTTGCTAGAGGCTTGTCCCAAGTTTGAGTGATGTTGTGGTTGGAGAATGTGCTTGCTCACTGACTCCAGCCAACTGCTCGCTAGAAGGCGAGCACTATAAGATTCCCCATATAATCAAGATAGATCAGTTTCCGTTCATTGCACCAACTCACCCACGTTATCGCAAATCATGGCCACCTTTCATAACCCTAATGTAATACCCGACAACAGCCTCCTGAGCCAGATATTCGGCAAAAACGTGCTTTTAAGGCTGGCCACCGTACGCCAGGACGGGGATCGCTGCGTCTCCAAAGCCTTAGTACTAAAAAAGCTTGACCATGGCCAGAATTCATGCTTTGTGCGCCTCCGCGCTCTGGACAAGCCGGCACCCTCGTTTTACACGGTTGCTGCTATGCAAAAAATAGCCGCATCTTGCATCAAACACCTTGTTCCAGCAACCATCAAAATCGGTGAGGCAACCAATGACCAAGGAAGAAAGTTCCAGTTTTGGGTCATGGAACGTGGCAAAGGAATTGCCCTGGACAACATCTGGGAAAAGATGGACCATGAGAATCGGAAGTCTGTGGTCAAGAACCTGGTCGAGGTGCTCTTTTCACTTCAATCTTTGAAGATCTCAGACTACAAAGTCCAGAACACCCTCCAGGAATCACTCGGCGAGCACAGAAAGGAAGAACTTACGGAGGCTGCCAAGGCTTCCTTCGGGGGCCCATTGTCGGGATTCCTGGAAACAGAGGCCTTTTTCATGGCCTTTCTCTTGCGAGTGTTCGGCTTTGACCAGCCATTCAAGAACATCTTCGTAAACCGATTTAACAGCATGAAGCCTGTGTCTGATCCGGCCGGCATTGTGTTGGAATGTACGGCAAAACATGTAGACTCGATAAGAATCAACGATGATGATATGCGGAAGTTGTAAGTGCATCGATCATATATACCACTGGGATGCCCTAGTAATTTGCCGAAAGGAGGCAAGGGGCTGTTTTCTGCCTCAACGACATTATGCCTCAGAACATCATGGTCCTAGGGGTTGAAACCGATGATGGACGAGTGAAATACGAGCTCACTGGTCTCGTGGAGTGGGCATGGGCTGGTTTCTTTCCCCCCTCATTTCAGCTGAGCTTACAAGACTCATTGGTGGGTGTTACAAGCCGCCATCTTTCCTTCTACTTATTTTTGAAACAAGAACTCATTGGGTTTCTCCCTCGAACCCCGCCACATATGTCGTTGGCGAGGGCCATGTTCCACCTCTTGGAGGCCCAGCAAGTGAAGAAGTTGGCTGAGGCCGATATGGAAGCTCAAATTCGCAAACGGTACATGGCCGTGATGCGGTTATCCCGGGACAAGGATCCGTATGTTGGATGGATATATGACGTCGAAGGACCAATTCCGGAGGTGTCGGCTGAAGCTTATGACAGGATGGAGATCGATGCTGTTAATAGCATGTGGGACTAGCTATCTTGATGAATAGTAAATTCTCTAAAGTAAATGAATTGAGATATCAAATCAGCCAACAACCCTAACCCATCAATGGCTGAAGTAGGGAACCGGTGGGGGGTGTGGGGGTCCTATGAGGTCAGTGCTTGTTGGGCCGTCACCGCGGGGTAGCTTACCCCTGCTCGAGGGACCCCTGGCAGCGGCAAGAGCGGAGACAGCGGGACATCGCCAGCATCATCACCGCCTTGAATCTCAGTCAGCTCCTTTTCAACTATTGGCAAGACAAAGATTATCCAGCCGTGCCAGCCTCATATCTTACCCAAACTCCAATTACAACATCAAAATGGTCGGTCTTGGTCCCAAGCGTCCTCCCTCCCGAAAAGGCACTGGTACGTAAACAGTTGGTTGCAATCTCCAAACCCCAGCTCGGGAATCTCCAACAGCTTTCCATGCCCAACATAACCCCTCTCGGCTTTATTCATTGCTGCCTATTGTTTTTGTTGAATACAAGATGCAGTCAGGCACAATTGCTCCTGCCATCCGTCTGATTGTACACTCGGAAGGGCCAAGTGGTTCTTCCCCCCAGCGCCTTGTGTGGTTTTGGTGCTGTGTCGCGTGCGTACCATCCGGGAAGAGGCGAAGCGGAAGTCACGTTGGAGTGAAGACCCTATCTGTGTACCGTCCGCGATAATCTTGGATGATGTGACATCACTCACTCTTCTGGTTTTCTGCATGCTCAGTCACCAACACACCACCAACCTATCCGATCAGGCTTCCCAGCATTTCTCCACCTTGTTCTGCCTTGGCATATTTCTTCCTAAAGTACCCTTTTTGCGAATCGCTATATTCGATCCCTACTCTGGCCTGCATTAGGTACCCAGCCTCCTACCTTGCCCTACAAATAAGTACCTGAGCCATGTCTTTCTTCGGCATGAGATCCCTGGTCAATCCCGACAACGTCAACCAACACCACCCAATTCCTCTGTCAAAGAGCCACGCCTACCGACACCACTCTATTTTCTCCAGCAACAGTTCTCAGTCCAGCCGACAGGGCAAGGCCTGTGCGCTCTTGTCCCTTGCTTCTTAACTGACCATGTCATCAGGCTCGTTTGTCGAAGTCCCCAAGGACCTGCTCAAGGAGATTAAGCGCCTTGAGGAGCTGTTCACGGTTGATACGGCAAAGCTCAAACAGATTACCGACCACTTTGTCAATGAACTCGAAAAGGGTCTCAGCAAGGAGGGTGGGACCATCGTAAGTTTATCTTGAGCCAATGTTGGGTGTTACTCACGGCTAATGCGTCAAAGCCCATGAACCCAACATGGGTCATGTCCTTTCCCACTGGCTATGAGACCGGTACTTACCTGGCCCTTGACATGGGCGGCACCAACCTGCGTGTCTGCCAGATCACTTTAACGGAGCAAAAGTCAGAATTCGACATTATCCAGTCAAAGTACCGCATGCCCGAGGAGCTCAAGACAGGTGTGGCTGAAGATCTGTGGGAATACATTGCCGAGTGCTTGTTGCAGTTCATCCAGACTCACCACGGCGATGTCGCCAAGCTCGATAAGCTTCCTCTAGGCTTCACCTTCTCCTACCCTGCCACTCAAAATTACATTGATGAGGGCATCCTTCAGCGGTGGACCAAGGGCTTCGATATCGATGGTGTTGAGGGCCGCAATGTTGTTCCCATGTTTGAGAAGGCCCTTCAAGAGCGGGTATGTCTAGGAGGCTAAGGGATGAGCGATGATATGCTGACCATCCACAGGGCGTGCCAATCAAGCTGACTGCTCTTATCAACGATACCACCGGCACCCTCATTGCCTCTGCGTACACCGACACTAAGATGAAGATTGGTTGTATCTTTGGCACCGGTTGCAATGCCGCTTACATGGAGGACTGTGGTTCTATCCCTAAGCTTGCGCACCTTAACCTCCCACCCGATACCCCCATGGCTATCAACTGCGAGTGGGGAGCTTTCGACAATGAGCTTAAGGTGCTCCCTCGGACTCCCTACGATGAATCCATTGATACGGATTCACCTCGCCCCGGTCAACAGGCATTTGAGAAGATGATTGCAGGGTTATACCTGGGAGAGATCTTCCGCTTGATCATGGTAGACCTGCATGACAACCATAATGTCAACATCTTTGCCGGACAGGATATCGGGAAGTTACGGAGGCCGTACACCCTTGACTCGTCATTCCTGTCGGCCATTGAGGAGTATGTTTATTTACAGAAGTTGATTGATGTTGAATGCTAACCAGAATACAGTGACCCGTTCGAGAACCTGTCCGAGACCCGCGAGCTCTTCCAGAACCAACTTGGCATCGATCCCAACCCCTCAGAGCTCGAGCTTATCCGCCGTGCTGCGGAGCTGATTGGCACCCGTGCCGCCCGTCTCTCAGCCTGCGGCGTTGCTGCCATCAGCAAAAAGAAGGGCTACAAGGAATGCCACGTCGGCGCTGACGGGTCGGTATTCAACAAGTACCCTCACTTCAAGAAGCGTGGTGCGGCTGCCCTTCGTGAGATTCTCGACTGGCCCGCAAAGGCGGATCCCAACGATGACGACCCCATCGAGATCTTGGCCGCCGAGGATGGAAGCGGCGTGGGCGCTGCATTGATTGCGGCTTTGACACTGGAGAGGGTGAAAAAGGGGAATATGCATGGAATTTTGCACCCGGAGAACTTCCACTAAGCGGGTGTGTTTTGGAGTGTTTGTTGAGATTGGGTATAGGATTGCAGAGCATACGGATTACGAAGTTCAAGAGTAGCAGATGGTTTCAGTTCCGTTGATCACAGATTATAGTAGCTTAGAACGTTGAATTAAGGGGCTTCATTTTGTCATTGTATCTGCTGTTGTCAGTTTTGACTTGTCAGCCTCTTTTTTTCCCCCTTTGCCTTTTCCATGGCGTATTTGAAGGTATCGATCAGCTCCTCCTCACTCTCCAACCCAACCGATACCCGGACCTGCTCTGGGTTCGCCCCAAAAGTCTTGAGGTACTCCGCCGCCTCTGGCTCAACGCCCCAGATTGCATCGTTGAAGGGGAAGGCAAGAGTGAGGTGGGCGCCGAGGTGAGGACCCTGGTATACGGACAGGTTATCGTAGAATGTCTTTGCCAGGTCGAGGGATTCGAAATCGACGGCCAAAAGGCAGCCGTACCCCGGGTTAGGGAACTCGGGAGTTGGCGCGCGCATTACGGCGTCGTAGTTGGGCTTTGTGTCTAGGAAGGGGGGATAGAAAACTGCTTTTACGGGGGAGGAGGGGTCCTGGGCTTCCGAGTTGAGGTAGGTGGCTAGGGATAGGGCGTTGGAGTTTAGGGTTGCTGAGCAGGCGATGTAGGGTGTGGACGGGGGGAGGAGGAGGGAGCCGCCCATGCACTGTGGAAGATGTTAGTAAAGGGGGATAGGGATGGTGGAAAAGGGGGAGACGTACGTTGGCGTATCCGGAGAGGGACTTGGTTATGGAGGTTACAATGACGTCGGCGACGGGGAGGACGTCGATGTTGGCGAAGGAGCCGATTGTGTCGTCTATGATGATAGGGAAGTCGTATTTATCGGCCTAGCACATATTTTGTCAGTTCAGTGTTTTTGCCCACAAGAAAATGGGGGTTGGATCTGTCTGGACGACTTACCAATTTTCTCAACCTAACCAAATCAACCGAGACCAGAATCGGATTAGAAGGGAACTCGGCAAAGCAATACGCCGGCCTCCCCCCTTTTTGTTTCTCCCCCTCCAGATACTTTTCCAATTCGTCAAACAGATTCGACTTTGCGTCACAGCTCCCAAAGTGCTTCATCCCGTTGGGTGACTCCTCGAAGAGGTGGTAGCTGTTGTGGAACACACTCCCCAAAACGACGATCTCCCCTTCTGGACGAAGGGTGATAAGCGCGTTGTGCAACCTCCACACGGCGGCCATGCCAGTAGGGTAAAGGAAGACATTCTCCGGTGACAACAAATTCGCTTTCTCCTTGTCGAGCGGAGAGCGTTGAGCTAGCTCGACGATGCGAGACTTGAGGCCGGTGTGGGCTTCGGTCAGGGGGAGATAGGTTGGTTCGGGGATGTTGGGGAGGGAGACATCGTCCGCGCCGGTGGCGGTAAATGGAAGGATGGCAAGGGAGTCAAGGTGGGCAAGGCAGGCGGCGGCTAGGCGGGAGGAGATGCCGCAGCCGTAGTTTTGCCATGTGCCTACTACCCCCGGGGCGTGCTTTTGGGGGAAGGCGGTGATATACAGCCTGACTTTGTCCTCGGAAGAAATGGGGATTTCGACTACGCGGAACCAGAGGTCGGATGGGGGGACGAGGTGCTCCGGTTTGCGCCATTTGCCGTCGGAGGAGTAGCGTTGGGCGGTGGTGAAGGAGTCGGGGTGGACGAAGATGATGAGGCCGTAGGTTTCTGGGAGGGAGAGGGCTTTGTGGAGGGCGGTCGAGAGCTGGTGGTGAAGTTAGAATATGGGTGAGTGAACAAGGGGAAAGGGGAACGCTTACCTGGCGCACTTCACACCATGGGCCGAAACGGGGGTAGATGGAGCTGAGTTTAGACAAGAGGTTTGGGTCACCTCTGCGGAGGGCTTTGGCTGTCTCCCAGCCGGGAATGTGAAAGGTGATGTTGTGAGGCTGCTCGGGTGGGATAGAGTGCCCGAGTTCTGTGGTGATGACCTTGACGGGCATTTTGCTGACTTAGGTAATTTGACTTTCTCTTCTGGCGTGAGACTCACTCAGGTGTAAGCGAGAGTGAGATTACAGGTGAGTGTGAGCGATTATGAAATGTGCTTATTCACGCACCATATGCCGAAAAGAGCAACAGTCACCAGTGAAACTTCAAAGATGAGATGGAATTCAAGACATCTCTAAATTTATAAGTCATGTCCGACTTCGCATACACCCCATAAAATACCCCAGATTCGGCAGACGACCCTGGCCCAAGGGGCTGGAACCGCCGCAACGGCTCGAGAACAGGTTAGTCACAAAGCACGACATCGGGGATGGCGGTTTTTGTTGTCTACAACTTGACGGAGTATCCCGCCCACGTTCTTTGATACGATGGCTCAATATCCCGCGCCGACTTCAGCCCCGAAACCTCCCTTTCCCTCTTCTCGTTCGATGTTGAAACCAACTTCACCAATGAAAAATCATCTCTATTCCCCGAGAGCTGCAGTCCAACACAAGAGCAAAAAAGAGGGGCTCCGAAAGTGGAGGCCGAACCTCCCGCCCGAGTCACATCCGTTGATCCCCGATGCTGGCCGGTGGAGCAGGGACTCCCTCGGTGACCATGTTATTCAAAGTCTCATCGCCGACTCAGTTGTGACAAGTCTTGAATGTGTCATGCTGTGCTGTGTTTTGCTGGCTACATTCTATACCATTGAATCGCAAAAAATATGCATCGCTCTCCTATGCCCGCTGACAAAAACAGTTCTAACTTGTTGTACAAGAACACCCTCCTACATTCCATATCCAAATTGCACCCTATCTGATATGAGATCACCACATTGACCTACTTGTCCCTTCGTATCCGAAATTCAACGCAACCGCAACAAACAAAGCAGCGCATAGCACCGTAGGCCCCACCTTGTCGTAGTATTTCGCCGCCTGGCGGGTACGGATGGCTTTGCTGCGATAGAGATAGGTGGCCACGGCGTAGCAGAGCGACATTACTGCCAGGAACGTAAAGGCACCGGCAGCGATGAATGAGGCCTTGTCGCCGCGCTTGGTACTGAAGTTGAGCAAGGTCACGGCGATGGTGCCAATGTAAATCGAGTATTCAAGCTGCTGATTGTTAGCAAATCATTACTGTCAGGGAGTAGAAGAGAGGCAACATACCCAACCCAGGAACGTTCTCTCTGCCGCAAAGTACACCTTGGGTTCTACGCGAACGGGCACATAGATCTTCTTCCCCTTGGGCGCCTTGAATCTCTTTTGTTGAATCTCGCCGGTACCCAAAAGCGACTCCAGTCTTGCGTTGCGAGGTACGGTAGTTGCCCGAGGGCGTGGGACAATAGCTTTCAGACCAGTCCACACTGCATGGCCGACAGTGTGTGCTGTGGTGGAAGCCAGAGTCTGGTAATATGTCCACCCACCAACCCTTCTCGCCTCCGCTAGTCTGTCTTCATCATCCTCGTCATCGGAGTCATAAAGATAGACGTCATCATTGGTAGGACGGTCGACAGTTTGGTCTTCCACATCAGATGCTGCCAGAAGGGCCCTGCCGTTCCGAGCGGCAGCACCCTGTCTGATAGATTCCCCGTTTTGGGCTCCCAATACTCCACCCTCGTCATCAGAGTCCTCCTCGTCCTCGTCATCTGACGTCGATGTCGTGGCCGAGTGCTCTGTTCTTTTGATGCCAAAGTCATGGCTTGCTGGCTTCCGAATGTCGACATCCATCTGGGGCATCCAGTATGGCAGCAGGTGTATCCTGTCAGGGAACAGGGTGGCAGTGCCGTGGATAAACTTGGAGAACTTGGGTACGGCTTCGACCAAGTGGCTGGAAATCAGCTGTCGTACCCAATCGGGGGGTTCTTGGCCGTGCTGTGTTTGAAGCTTGACCTCGAGGACTGCATAAGGAAACCGCACGATATCTCCGGGTGGGAGCTGTGAAAATGGGTAGTCAATACCAATGTCCATGCGTCTCCAGTTATCACCGGAGCGCGTGACACCATCCAAGTTGTCCTCTCTGATCATGGTAAGCTCGGTGTCAAGCGAGATACGGACTCGGGCGTCGGCAGGCAGCTGGAAGGCGGTACGGTGGTAGAAGGATCGGCAGACTGGCTTGTAGCCCTTCTTCAGGACCGACCACTGTATCTCCTTGGCTAATCTTTCGTCTTCGGCAATGGCCTTTTCCGACTTCTTGCCTTCCTTGCGAGCCTTTTCGAAAATAGCGGCAGGGAGCAGCTCGCCACGCATGTAGGCATTGACATTCTTCTCTTTGATGGCGAAACGGGCCTTGACTGATTTTTCACCCGTCCAGTCTTCTCTGTGTGTTTTGCGCTCAACGAAGATGGTCTCGTTCTGCATACCGCCATACCAACGCAATCGAATCGCCTCGGCTCCTTCCGTCTTCTTCAGACGACCCTCGTATAGCTCCCACGTGTCGGGGTTGTCATAGTAGATGGATGTGATGGCTGAATCGGCGGCTTCGAACTCTTTGCTGGCATTGAAAACCAGAACAGGCAAGTGCTTTAGAATGATCAATTTGAGTTCTGTGACATTGTCGGGATGCACCCAGTATTTGGTCGTGTTGCGAATGAAACTGGCCTGGCTTCCGCCGGCTGCGCTGTCACCCTTTACGGGGTTTCCTCTTGTTCGAACCAAGTCGTACAGCTTGGACAACTTGACAACCGAGGCATCATAGTTTTCTTTGTAGAATGGTTTCGCCTTGAGGCGGGTTTCGAAGACGGGCTTGAGGTGCCATCCAGTCATTTTGTCATGCTTCTTGATGATCTTGTAGAATCCCGTGTAATTGAGCTGCACGAACTTGGCGAGATCGTGGACGTCGGCAATGATGTCGCTCAGGTCCTCCTCGAGAAGCATGAACTCCTCCTCGCTGGGCCCATCTTGGCTCAATCCGCGCTCGTTGAGGCGGTTAACCACATCGCGGACCTCGCGCTCGCTGACGGCGATACGACGCGAGATCTCCATCGCCTTGACCTGCTGTTTTGTGTGCACTTTTTCGAGCTCGGCCTCGAGCTTGCTGATGAAGCGGCTTTCATCGTCTTCTGTCCATTCGCGGCGCGATTGCTGCCTGTTGTTGGGCTTTGTGCTGTTGTCGCCGACGGGCTGCACAGAGCCAGAGGGATGCTTGAGGTCGGCCTTGAGCCCGTCATAATCGATGTAGTACCATTGGTATTCGCGGATGGCGCTCGATCGGAGCTGTTCGCCGAACTTCATGACGACAACGCCGGGACGGACGCGGCAATTGGACTTGCTGAGCTTGCGGTTTCGGGCGTATTGTTTAGTGATTTGTCGAGTCTTGAGATCGTGGATAATCAGCATGGACCGGCGGGGCAGGTTCTAACGGCTGCCCATATAGTTAACAGTAGCCAAGCAACAGTTGCTGTAGAGTTGCCAGTTGCCACCGAAACTGAAGTGCAACGCAAGGTTTCTCTCTTCTCTCAGCGGTATCCTGGGATGCGAGCTCCACTGTTGCGGATCAGGAGCCCAGCTAAGCGCAGTGGGCTGTTTGGCTCGGGACCTGGAGTGTTTTTGCTTCGTCTCTTTCTCGTGGTGAAGCTATTCAAACTTTGAAGAGATGAAAACACAAAGAAGCGGAAAAAGCCAGTCCAGAGGCTGGCTCAGCAAGTGGTGCCAGACCAACAGGGGCTTCTGTAACCAGCGGAAGCCACGATGGCCCAGGCACAGCAACTTGTGCCATCACCGACACACGTTTCACCAACATTGGTTGCCATTGGCGAATGGCTCGACTTCGCTTTCTCTTGGCGCCCGACCGGGATTAGGTGGATCTTAGCTCGTCCTGAGCTTGCATCGGAATGACGTTTTGGTGAAGAACAACGCTAGGTTGGGCCTGGGCCCTTTGCCGTCCTCAACGTTCAACAGGTGGCTTTCGTTCTCAAGAATGAAAAAGGATTAAGGGCTATCATTTATCTTGATACCTACTGTGTAAAGTCCTTGAGGTGCCAATCAACCTGAACTTTGTAGAACGGCCATATTCCATCAGAATGACCCCCAGTCCTAAGTGCAAGCCCCTGTACCTGTCCCACATGTCGCGATAAAAGATAACGATAACGGCCACAGACCCGCAAGAAAAATGTCGATGAGGGGGAGGGGCAACCGCTAAATCGCACAGGCTGTCCTAGGCTTGGATAGTGCCACAAAGTACGAAGTCGACTTCCAAACCAGAACCTGATCGCAGCAAGAGATTGGTTTCGTTTCCTGACTGAACGACTACCAAGCGACGGCCAGTTCAGCTAGACCATCATGATCCTCCTCGACTCCGAGCGGGATGCCATCTCGGCCCGCATCTCTGAGGCCTGCCCACCCGAGATACAAAAAGTTCTTACCGCGGCTTGGGCGCACGATGTCGCAACTGTGAAAAAGCTCCTCGACACCCCCGAGGCCGCCAGGGGCCAAGACCCCCTGACCGGGGAGACGCCGCTGCACGCCGCCATCCGATCGTGCGGTCCCCCTTCCGAAGACGACGATGAGGCCGATTTGGCGGCTGCGAGAGAGACAGTTCAAGAGCTCTTGCTTTGGGGAGGCATCTGGAACGATGTCGACGATCGCAATGAGACTCCTGGTTGCGTCGCCCATCGTCTAGGCCGGACTGAGCTGTACAACCTCTGTGTTGACGCTGGTGTAAGAGCTGAGATGCTTTTCGGGGTGCTGGAGGGGTACGAGGAGCTGGAAAGTGACGACGAGGAAGAGGACGAGGAGGATGCTCATCAGGAGGCTGGCGAGTCGGAGATGGTGGTTGTGGGCGAGGATGGAGAGGAGGCCCCTGAACTGATCAATGTACCAACAAACGGAGCTGCGGAGGAAGCGTCACAAGGATTTGTCCCACCACAAGACGACGCGGTCGATGTCAACTCGGAGCAATATCTGAGGTCGAAGCTGACATACTCTGACGGGAAGTTGGTAGACGACGAGGGTAATGGAGTGATGATGGCCTGGGAAACAGATATCATGCGCCAGAGCGTTGATGCTCTGCTGCCGAGCAAGGAACCAGGGAAGAGAATCCTCAATATCGGCTTTGGTATGGGCATCATTGACACAATGTTCGCTGAGACTAAGCCAGCAAAGCATCACATTGTTGAGGCCCATCCCGGAGTCCTTGAACACATTTCTAGCCCCGACTCCAAGTTTGGCCCAAGCTGGGAGGCAAGCGCCCCTGAGCCTGGCGCCTACAAGATTCACCAAGGAAAGTGGCAAGAGGTGTGCGTCAAGCTTTTGCAAGAAGGCAATGTGTACGATGCTATTTACTTCGACACATTTGGTGAAGATTATTCGCAACTACGCATGTTTTTTACTGAACTTATCCCCGGCCTGCTGGACAGCAATGGCATCTTTGGTTTCTTCAACGGCCTTGGCGCGGATCGGATGATTTGCTACGACGTCTATACCAAGGTCTCGGAGCTTCATCTTGCCGATGCTGGGCTTGATGTCGAGTGGAAAGTGATTGATGTTGACATGTCCCGACTGGCCGAGGAGGGCCAAGGCGAATGGGAGGGTGTTAGAAGGAGATATTGGACGTTGGACAGTGAGTACCCCCAAAGCAACCATGTTATGACCAGAGATCTGATCCAATCAATAGAATACCGTCTGCCGATATGTACTTTCCTTGGTTGAGCATAGCTTCTAGAACCCGCGCGAGAGTTTGGAGGTGATGGACCCCAATAAAAATACGCCCCCCCCCCCCCCCCACACACACACACGCATTTTTATTCTGTGTAACCACAACAAGGCTTTGAAGTTGTAGGCCTCACTGCATCTACCCCTCCCCCTACCATCTAGAGGACTCTCTGTGACTCAACAAAGCTGTCAGTAGCGGAAATGTGCAGAAGACAATTCCTCGATTCTTCAAATCCTCCCCACATGTTCTTCACCTCATCCATTGCGATGTTTTCTCGTATCTATGTCGAGGACTATTTGTGTTCTGTCCTTTGAGCATGCTAGTCCACCTCGGTCTTTGGCCCTGATGAGCCATCATGCTCTCCAAGAAGCAGCGCCAGCGAGAGCTTGCCTGTGCTGAAGATATATCACTTCTCTCCATTCTGAGCCCTCCTTCATACTCTCTGCTGGTGAACAAGCCACCATTCCTAAAGTCCCAACCTGACTCTTCGCGAGTTTTGCCGTTCGAAACCGAAGTCAGTCTGGCAAGCACTTTGGCTTTCCTCTCTGGTATCTCCGACGACCCCAGCCATGTGGTGGCAGCCTCTGTGGAAGAGTTGGGAAATGGAAACGGGATATGTGTCAGAGTGGCCATCAACAAAGACCATGCCGGCGGCGGAGATGATGTGTTGGAAAGGATCCAGGATGGGTTGCAAAGGGTGCTGAAGTGTCTAGCCCCCAAACACACAGACTCAGACGATCACACCCACGATCAGACTTTGACGGCGATACTGGATATGTCCCAACCACGGCTGCTATCTCGTCTCGGAGTTCAGCGGGCTGGAATAAAGAAGGCCGCAAAGGACAGGTCCTTTTTCGGTTCACCCATTCAGCAAATCATCAATGCTGTCAGCCAATACAAATACACCAAGAAGGTGGAGGCAGAAGCTCGCAGATTTATTAAACTGGCTGGGGAGCTACTCACTCACCTCGAACAGCTCAAGACTTGCAAAGTAGTAGCTCTAACAGCCTGTTTCAAACGGGTCACTTACACGTCGTCCCAGCTTATAGCAAGCATCAAGTTTGACAAGCTATTCTCAGCACTGAATATCGACCCATTGATGAAAACTGGGTTTGTCACTCGACTTGGAAAGATTGCCCGGTACTACGAGAGTTCGCACTTTCTAGTCCAGCTGGCGAAGAGGAGCATACTTTTTGACCACACGGAGGTCACAACGATCAAATTAAACGAGGAAGCATTTTTGAGAGTTCCAAACTCTGAGACCATTCATCGACTATCAGAATGCCTCTCACGTTGCCATCCCGGCGCTCCATTGCCTCTCAATATCAACAAAATCTGCCAAAAGGTCAAGACGGACCCGACAACGGCCAACGCAGTGTTTGGGAAGGCAACCAGGAAGATACTGGCTGAGTCAAAGGTCCATGCGGAAGTGCAGATAGTGGCCTACTATGGGCTTCATCCAGTGGCGCGCAAGCCCCGGGTAATATGCTCAAACAAGGACGCATGCTATATGTGCAACTTGTTCATTCAAGTTCACGGGATGTACTATGTGCCCAAGAGCCATGGAAGATTGTATACTGGCTGGAGGGTCCCGCCTATATCTTCCCTCAACGACGCACATGCTCAGCTTGACAAAGCTTTGCAGAACAAGATCAGGGATGTTGTTCAGGAGTTCAAGGATTTTGGCGATCGAGAACGGGTATTGGATCTCAATCAGAATGAGAGCACCATCTTTCCATTCACGACCCTTATGTCGTCGCTGGAAAGCATATCACTGCCCGTGGCAAAGCCTCCACAGGCCGGTCAGGTGCAGAAGCCTCCGCGACCACCCCAGAGACTACACGAGCCACCTCAGCGTCGATTACCCGAGCGACCACAATCAGAGCAACGACAGCCAGAGCAATCGCAAGAGCAACCACAAGAGCTATCGCCTGCAACTACACAACTGTCCAAGCCTCACATAGTCAAAACAAGCACCCCGCGCATAGAACGTCGAGATGAGAGAATCACTGATCAACAGCCTACTATTGAACCAACTTCATCAACCTCCAAGTCATCTTCAACACCTGTGTTCAGCCCAACACTTGTAGCGCCATCTCCAGAAGATCTTCCATCGCCTCCGAGACCAAAACCGCCAGTAAAACAAGACACGCCCATCCCCGTAAAAACCCTTCCAAAACCAACCCTCGCCAACCTCTCGCTCCTCGACCAACAATCTCCCGACCTATTGGAAAACCAAAAACCAACACGACAAACGAGCCGAACTTCGTCAGAGCCAGCAGAGGTAACCCCTTCTCTGCCCACCAAAGCCCAAAACTCGCGAGGAAGCGAGGGTAAAAGGGTGGAGTCGTCTGAGCAAAAAGGAAAAGTCTTGCTCCAAAGGGGGAAAACCACTGGTATTTGGATGGACGAGGGGGTGCTGCCGCCTGTTTTTACGGCTGGGGGGCTGGATATCTTTTTGGAGAATGTGACTGAATGTAAAAGAGGGAGAAAAAGGGGAAGCACCGGGAAGGTGGTGAGGGTGGATTTAACTTGGTTGGGTGGGGAGGGTGAGAGAAGGCCAAGGATGAAGAGGGGGAGGAATTATCATTTCCTAGAGGGGCTGGAGAGGGGGATGGAGGTCGATGGGGGGAGCGGAGAGGTTGTGGTTTTGGAGGGGGGTGGGGAGGTGGTTGTTGTTGAGGTTGTTGGGGAGGGAAGGGGGAAGGGGGTGTCGGGGGGTAAGGCCGAATGGGCATGAGCTCAGGGAATAATTTATAGAGAATGTTTGCGTGTATAGTCCCTGATGGAGTTAATTACAGAATGATTAAAAGATAACCGCGGATATCTCTTACTAACTAGACACTGGAATTGACGATGTTGAAACACCTATCGTAATGCCCTTGTTCAGGTTCACATTTGCTATATTCCCCGGAACGCGATCCTAAATCCGGGAAGGGGCTCTTCTAGACCTCATAGACACGCCCGATTTGCCAAGTCAAGCATATTGATCATACCGTCGAATTACCGCCCATAAACTTATACTGTGCCATTACTGTTCCAAAACCACTCTCACGCCTTCCCCTCAAGACCCATACCTTCCATCCTCGTCTCCCACACATCCTTCACACTCATAGCATAATCCCTAAACTTCTTCGGCGCCGTCCCCGTCACACTAAAAATCACATCATTCGTCCTATTCTCGGCCCCAAACTTGATTGCCGTGTCCATCGCACTCATCATCCTCGCGTACTCCTCCGGCATCCCAAACCGTGCGTGTCTCTTCTCAAGCTCAGCAGACGATAGGTCAACATGGACAATCTTCCTCCCCAGCACCTCGGTAAGTATTTTCGCAATCTGGTTTCCACCTATTAGCAAACCCCCTTCCCCCTCGCATTTGTTCAGTTGCATATCACATACCTCATCATAACTCAACAGCTCCGGCCCCAACACCATCCACTCCGTATTCGGCGCCTCCTCCCCCGTCAACGCCCTCACCGCCACGCTCGCAATATCATCCGCACTCACCCACGGAATCTTTCCATCCTCGGTCGCGCTGTAAATCTTGCTCTCACTCCTGATCGACTCCTTGTGACTAGGCTGCTCAGCAATATTCTGCTGAAACCAGGTCGGCCTCAACACCCCCCACTCCACATCCCCTCTTTGCCCCAACTCCCGGAGATAAGCGTGGACCTTGCCCATCAAGGGCCCACCGGCTTCGATGCTGGACGCAGACTGGAGGATGAACCTGTGCACACCTCGGGAACGGGCAAATTCGATGAACTCAATCATGGGGCGGTCGCCTGAGAGGGATGGGGGGGCGACGAGGTAGATTGATTTGATTGGCTGGGGGGCGGGTTGGGGTTTGGAGGACTGTTGGGCTTGTTCAGGTTCGGTGGTGGTGCCTTCGGTGCTGTTTGTCTTGCTGAGGAAGATGGGCTCCCAGGTGTAGGGGTCGTCCCAGTCGAAGTTGACGTGAGAAAGGGAAGATGACGGAGGGGGGTTGCGGGAGGCGATGAGGGTGGGAATTCCTTGGGAGGCGAGCTGGGAGGCTATGCGGGAGCCGACGGTGCCTGTGCCGCCTAGGATGAGAATGGGCGCTTCTATTGATGTCATTGTGTTTGAGTGCTGGTGATGTGGTGTCAATCTCAAGAAGAGGAGAAAATATATGAAGGAGAAAAGAAAAGGCGATGAACTGCAGTGGAAGAAGTGTGGTTGATGAGGTAAGGAGAGGGCTGATGGGCTGTTTATATGTTGCTTCAGATGAACGCCATGATGAGTTCATATGAGCTTGAGCACGTACCCCTTTGAGAGAGAGCCGCAGGGTTAATAAGCAAAAGTGCATGTCGGGGCCGTGTGAAGCTGTAGGAATTGCTCCAGGTGACAATTCAGCCAATCAGAGCGCTCAACTTACAGTGCGATTGCCCGATCTGGCGCTGCAATAATCCCCGGAGCAACTGTCCAAAATCACCGGCGGGGTGACTTTTCTGCCGAATAGCCTCGACTTGCATGGCATCTCGGAGTTAAGTGGTTGACATCTCCATAAAGTGGTATCTGAAGAAACATAAATATGACCAACTCAACTGCTCATGCCGAATATTTCTCATTGTATCGAAGTCATCTCACATTCAACTGTTAGCTATTCTACCACTTGGGCATTCCCAAGAAGCTTGCACACTTCAACATCCAGTCAGAAAGCTTCATAGCTTTGCTTGTCCACAATGACTTACACCGTCACCCAATTTCTCCTCGATAAATCTAACATTGAGGAGGTGATTCTCAAAGTGGTATGTTCTCCCATGTCCCCCTCGCTCTTTCCCGCCACTGTACCTTCCTCCCTTCCACTCTCCTACTGCACCTTCTTACCACTGCACCTTCCTACCACCACACCACCTTCCTACCACGCACCTTCCTGTCCTTGCACCTTCCCAAGAATCACGTCTGCACCTTCCCTGCATTGCACCTGCACCCATTGCTCCTTCCCAGGAACATTGCTCCTGCCAAAACACCCCTTCACTTTTCCCCCTTTACCACATTACCACATTCCCCCTTTTTCACCCTTTAACCACCCCGACTCACGCTCCACTACTTACCCCCTTTCCCTCCGCTAACCACCCCTCCACCCTCTCAGCCCCTCTACTACGATCTAAAAACCCTCCCCCCACTCCTCAACGAAGTCTACGCCCCCAACCTCACCATAGATTACACCTCCCTCCTCGGCGGCACCCCCCTCACAATCTCCTCCCACGACTGGGTGCACAACCATCTCGCCCCCCTCATCGAGGTCTACTCCTCCTCTCAGCACGTGACTACCGGTATTATCCTTCCCGACCTCCCCCAGCCTGGTCCCGATTCCTCCAGGCCGACAACAGTAAAGGTGTATGCACAGGTGGCTGGGAATTTAGTCCCTAATGATGGGAAGGGGCCAAAACTAATCCAGAACGGGGGGTTGCTGGAGGCCGAGGTGGAGAGGTTTGAGAGTTTGGAACGGGAGGGGGGGGATGGCTGGCGGATTACGAGGTATAAAGTGACAAAGGGGTGGGATAATGGTGCTGGGGTGATGGATGTTGTGAGGG